AAATCAGTGCTACGCAATCGCCGGACTGAAACGACAATGTACCAACCAAGGATTGTACAGTCGTCCCTCGCCACTTCGCGCTTCGACTTTCGCGGCTTCACTCTGTCGCGGTTTTTTCAAATACCTGTATATTGGGTAATACGAGTGTAATGGTGATTAAAGAGTGTTATTTCATGTCTAGAGGGCTCTAATAGACATGAAATAACACTCTTTAGTCACCATTACACTCGTATTACCCAATATACAGGTATTTGAAAAAACCGCGATAGAGTGAAGCCGCGAAAGTCGAAGCGCGAAGTGGCGAGGGACGACTGTATTGCTTTTAAATAAAATTCAGCAGCAGAAGTCTCACTAAGAATGGCACGCAAAGCCCTGGTCTGCATGATTACTTTTGTATGGTGCGTGACGTCAAAAAGGTTCCCCCTTCACTGGTCTAGACAGCCGCTTAGCAGTGACGACAGGAGCGGAGGGCGGTGTACGTGGGAAATATTTTCCTGTCTCCAGTAATGGGCGAACGAGGTGCATGACCAATTCTTCTAACAATCCTATTTAGAAGAGTTTGTTATGACGCTATACCTCATGTATTGCTGACCGTGGTAGGACAATGTTTCTGACATATCATAAAATATACTGGCGTCATGAATAAATATTAAAAGGTCATATAGCGCTCACTCGAGTAGTAGGAGTTGTGATGGTATTCCACCTGACTTTAGCTGAGCAAGTCAGCAAAACTTGAACATTGCTGTATTAGCGTATGTTCGCTAACCTTCGAGCGCTGTGCACGGATCACGTCAAAAATATGCCTAATAAGGTGTTCGCCAAGAATTACGTGAATTTCAGTTTTCCATACAGGGTGTGCCATGAATATTCGCACTAAATCAAGGCATTGTATTTATTGTACTCATGGAAAACTTCTCATGGAATCTATTGAATGTCCACCAAACACAAAGGCTTGTATGTAACTATTCCCAAATGTTTGGGTCATTCCATGCCAAATCGACTAGCGAGTGAGCTCGACCCGCTAAGATTTTGACGAAAATCCGCATACACGTAGAGGAATCGATTTAAAGACACAAGTTTCAATTATTTTTTTTTAATATTTCCCATAGATCTCCAGAAATAAGCATTTTAATGCGACCTAATTTTCGTTCCTAGCGCTATACGGACTGGAATTGTGAAACATTTTCTATTATAGCTTCCCCTCTAGTTAATATATAAGCTTCATTATGGTGTCATTTTAATTGGGAGATCGCCATCTTTACATTGATTCCAGTCACTGCCCTCCTAAGCTGAGCTAAAAATATCAATTTCCTCAAACAATTTGATCAAGTTCGGTGACCAAAATCGACACTGAATAAATCTGGAATTCGTTATCTCAATATTTCATTTAGAAAGACATGCTATGCCATTTCTGACGATACGAAATTCGAGATTGGCACTTAGGGGTCTGACGAGATATGAATATTTTTGTTCGTCATTACCACGAAAATGCCACTTGTTTGAATACTTTGATTTCAGCGAACGACACCTGCACTTAGCACTCCATTATTCCCGAATTGTAATCAATAATTTTTAAAATGCCTGTCACGCCCTCGCTAACGATACCAAATTCAAGGTTGATACTAATGGGTTCATGAGATATAACGGTTGACGGCATCAACTTGCATTTATATTTGCAACTGGGAAGCATGGGAATGTACCCCGATGTAATGTAGTTCTATCCGGGAAATTTTTGCTGGTTTCTAATTTGAGCATTTTTAATTATATTTTCATAGCATACTGAAGTGCAAAATATTTATATTTGAAAAGTTTTAGAATCAATTAACTCACTCACTTGACTTTAATTAATTATATAATTACATAATAATGGAAATAGAACGAATTTTATTGAAAATGTGTGCAATATTTTGAGATTTCCCAGGATCGGAACATGATGGAAGTGAACATTAAAAAGTCGGCAATAAATTCACCTATTTGACGGTTTACCACACGGCTACATTCCCATGATTTCCTTCTGAAGCACTCTGGGAACTCTTGTTTTCGTTAAATGGTGATATATCATGACGAAATTGAGGGGCAACATAGAGTTTGGTATCGTTTGAAAGGGTATAACGTTCAATTTTTAAGGAAATGTTGTGACTCAGGACTCATGGTAAAGCAAATTTCCTAATTCCTTGAAATCGGTCCAGCTGTTTGAACGATTAGAATTTTTGCACAACCGCCAAATAAGTGATATCTAATTAAGTCATTAAATGCCAATCTTGAATTTTGTAGCTTTAGAACCGGCATTAATTGCTATTTTAATGAATATTACAACTTTAAAATCATGCAGGCATGGTGGAAATGTCGATTCGATTAAGTGGAATTTTCGGTACCACAGCTACCAAGAGTCATATCTCATAAATAAATGGAGCACTAATCTTGAATTTGGTATCGTTAGAAAGGGCGTAGAATAAACTTATTAGTGATATAAAACGGGATTCAAGGAGTGGAAAGTGCAGGTATCGGTTACTGAAATATGTCAAAGTATTCGAAAAAGTGGAATTGTCGTGCTACTGGCGAACAAAACATTCGTATCTTGTCAACCTATTGCTTGCCCACCTCGGATTTGTATAGTCAGGAATGGCATTCCATGCCCCTTTCAATGAAACATTGAAATAATGAATTCCCGATGTGGCGAGTGTTGATATTGGCTACTGAACTTGATCAAAATGATCAAATGGAACTTCTTTTTTCAGTCTAAGAGAATAATGGAGAATAATTTTTCTGTCGACTTTGTCATAACAACAAGGAATGGTGATTTCGTTCAAGGCTACAAGGAAATTTCAACGTCGTAATTCGTAATGCAATTATTGATATTGGCAGGAAAATTACGAAATTGATAAGATCCTGTCTTCCGCATGTACCTATCGTGTAATCCATTTCCACTTTCGCCATGCATGAGCTTTTGTTGAGTCTTCGGGTAGGGGGGGAGGGATCTCCAGTTAGTCGATATCGATTAAGAGCTCCCGATTCATTAAATATTACCGGAACCAAGTACTGATATATACATTTTCATTTGGTACATTCGCATTTAATAATGTGAGTAAAATGATGGAATTGTACTTGCGACCACAATAAGCTACAGTAGTTCTCGGCTTAACGAATTAGAATCGAACCGAAATAGGAAATTTACCGTGTTTTCCATTATTTCTTCCTAGGGAGCAGCAAAGGCGCAGGGGTTCCAATCTCGTGAGTTTAATGACCTTCACTCTTAAGAATTTAACATCTTAAATACATGCCCATTTGATAGCGGGGCAATATTAATTACCCCCACCCCCTTCCTGAAAATATTGAGTTGACAGGTGCTATAAAAATGTATTTACAAGTTATGCAACTAAAATATACTAATATCATTTCTGCAGCGACACAGTATACTCAAAATCATAAGTTGGTTTTGTTTACTAATGTACTTGCCAGTATTTGTGATTTTCCTCTGTTTGTACCTTGTCTGATTGAGTCGGTTTCATTGCAACATCATTCGCCACCGTGGCTTTTTTCCCTTGCATTAGTAGATAACATTTTTCCTCGAAAGGATCTACTCACGGCATTTTCACGGCAACATGTATGACTCGTATTTAGAAGAACCAATTCATTCCTTTGAGGAAGCATACATGCTGGACAAACGGAGCGCTAACCAGACGGTTGATGTTTCCTAGTGCGACTTGCACATTTTAGTGAGAGATGAAAGGAAAGTTATTCCACCGCTTCAAGAATAACGATAATATTTTCAAGCATCATTTTCCTTGCCTTCTAGACTTCTTCCTTGGGATCAGCGGCAAACCTTGCATGTGAAGGATGTGCTTGATTTCTGATTTTGGTCTGCGTTATTGCATATTGCTACGTTAATTTTCGGCATTGAGAAATATTTTATTCCAAATTCGAGGGGACTCGCACATCCATCCCAAAACCCGTTCCAAAATTCAATTACCTCCCCAGATAAAAAAAAGGTCAATCTGCATATGTAGGCCAAGCTATGGAAAAAATAACCGATAATTCGTGTCATTAGGCACGTATATTCCTTTAAATTATGGGGAAATGAAAGCCCGTTCAAACAGTGCCTCAGTTAAAAAGGAAATGGAAAGCTGCGTGTAATAATGAATTGAAGAATGTGCGAGGGTGGTTCAATACTTACCTGCAAATTCTTTTTTTTAATAAATAGGATAGAAAAAAGTCTGAAAGCCTAATATGGCAGATAGCCTCAATCTTCAATATGATTTATGCCAAGACTGGCAACCCTTGAGCATGCGCACTTGAATGTGAAGAACATGGCGTCTGATGATATATCAAGGGGGTAAAACAGCTTTGTATAATAAATTTGCGCGTGAAAGAGAGCGTGAAGGAAGCGGATACTTTTCAAAGATGACAAGCACAGTTCGCGGAAGACTGTCTAGAGAGGAGAAGTGTATCTGATCGTGCTAGGAATTTCAAGACGGCCAAGAATCCTTGACTATTCCTTGAGCGTGATCATCCGTCCGAGACAGCTGTGAATCCTGTGAATATCTGGCAAATTGAACAATTGATTCTGGTAAGTCGTCGCACCACCTTGTATGATTTTGCAGCAGAAATGAACATCAACATTGGGAGTGTCGAAAACATAGTCCACACTCCCTTTAAGTTCATAGATATGACTACGAGATAGGTAACATTCGAACAGAAGACTAACCGAATGAGCGCCGCGTCGGACCATTTCAACTGCTCTGACAAAGAGAAAGACAACATCCTAAATCGCATTTTGTTGAGCGATGAGATGTAGACTCATCATTTAACGTCAGTATGAAAAAGCTCAAGCATGCAAAGGCGACATTCCAGATCGCCTCGGCCGAAGGAATTCAGGGCAATGATGAAGTGGTGAAATGGCTGCCCACTCGACCACAAACATTCAAATGTCTCTGGCGTTCAGGCGTTGCCAAAGCGACGAGACAAGTACGTCCATGGAGGAGGGGTACACCTCGAGCAGTATGCATAGTTTGATAGAGATCAGATGTACCATTGATTTTCTGGCATAACAAGTGCAGGTAAGTATTGAACTACTCTCGTAAATACTTGAGTTAAGAGTAGGTCAATCCAATCCACAATTTGTTACAGACACAATTGAGACAACGCCCTGCATCACCAGCAAGCGTCTCTTCCCAGGCGAATCCTTCGACGTAAGGGACAATTTGTCGCCCGACACGGGGAGCCTCGCCATCCAGGCTTGCCGATATCACTTGACGGTGCGATGCAGCTACTGGCCGTTTCTTTCATTGCCTCACACATTTGTCTCGTTTCTCGTTATAATCGTGGCTCTCGTGTTCATCTAGTGCCCGCAAGACATGACGATGTCGTGTCCCGAGATACTGCTCCCGAGCTCGCAAGGTTGTAGGAACGCGGACTTCATCGTCAATGGGAACCGGTATGATGACGAAATTATTTAATAACGACAAGAAAGATGATAGCAATAATATTAAAGGTCACGGCTTTAATAGCAACAACTCCACCAATAAAAATAGTAATTATTACATCTTGAAGTTCGATAGGGAAACTAGCTGTCGTCCCTGGGACGGGCATTTCAGTCACGCTTTACCTTCTAAATGCTTGTTTCGATGTTTTCCAAAAGTAGAACATGCAGAAAGAGAAGTGCCATGAAGTTCTGCAATGCAGAACTGCAGGATTTCTTTCAAAGCGTAAATTAATTGGGAGTGCGTCCGCTCAAGGATCATGACCTAAATGACATTTTAAGAGCTACTTCAAGTTCATATTTTCTTCTTTCATATTCAGTAATACCCAGGCAAAAGAGGTGAAGATTTCAGTGTTGAAAGCTCTCAAGATAGCTGGCAGGACAGGAAAATACCATTCCACATAAAATCTATGCTTTATGGAAAGGTGTGCATCCCATGCAAAACGACCACCTCCTTTGGGGTGTTGGAACCAAGTGGATATCCCCCAAGATGGTATTTCCACTTGGTATAGCGATGTCCACCCGCGTGAAAATCCACCAATGAGGGAATATCCACCTGGCTAGAAATACAAATGCGCAAGTGGCTAGGTGAATCTGGTTCCAAATCCACCCCCTATCCACCTGGTTGTTTGACCAGGCGGATAGGGGGTGGACATTTTATGAAGGATCACATGTAGCATATGCAATCGGAAAGCAGTTCTGCATGAATTAAAAAAAGCATGTACAATTCCCACTGAAACTACCGACCGTGTCAAATATGTAAATAGTTCCGGTCGGTTACTCTGAGGCAATGTTGGATCAAATTGTTCCACTGCACTGCTTCCCAGTATTCTTGAGACCACGGAATCTCTGAATACGCAGATGGGAGATGCGTGAAATTTTCGCTTGCACGTTGCTAGACGTTATCGGCATTGGTCTTTCAACAAAAAAATCAAATTTTGGTCGGTTAAGTGTAACTGCGAGGGACCACTTAGAGATGTGCCACGAAAACACTTTCATGTAGAAATCAGCTGACAAGCATTGATGCATCAATTCTAAAGAATGCAGAAACAAAATACAAGGAAAAAGCAACTCACGAGTTCTGGATATTTTCAGCTTGTGCGGTCGGGAGAGTCACCTGAGGAACGCGGTGAATGTGGGGAGGACCGTGAACGCCCTCCTCTACTCCGATGGATCCACCCGCTCCTCCCTTGGAATTCAATGCAAAATAACTTGCGGTAGGCGCGAATCTTTGAATCTCAGGGTATTTCAGTTTCCACATGGCTGTCACCGTGGATTATTATTTATATTCCATAGCGAGTTTGTCTGCCCTTCGCGCAAACAAGCTCTTATGGTCGCGCATTCGGCGCTCTATTATCTAGGATAAAGTTCATTCATTTTAAATATCCGTTTTTCCCTTTCAGATATGTATATGGACAGGTAATTCTTTTCCTAAGTTTCAGTTTTTGCCCCTCTTGTTTTGTGAGAGCGATAATTTTTTACTTGGAATACTAGTGTTTAAAAAGGAAATTTCCCTGTGGGAATGATACCTTAATTCTTTGAGTTGCTCTTTCTATTGGTGTCACTCTCTTCATCCTATCTCGTTTACTTTCCTTGTAATGGTCCACACAAATAAGTGAGCTTTCATGTGGACACCCTGTATACATATAATGCATTTTCTATTTTTAGATCGATAATCATACGTCGGAGTAGTGTCTCTCCTTGAATCCAGCAGCTCTGAGATGAAGAAAAACAACTTACCCTCCACCTCTGCCAGTGAAAATCGATCTCCTGGACATCCTATCTCCGATCCAAGTTAGTTTTATGCATACTAACTCGAAATTATTTTGAACTCAGATATATTTTATATTTATGAATGATTGTCCTCAGTCTGGGAGTGATTTTTTTTCGAAAGGAAAGGGATTTCATAAATGGCGCGGAAAACCCAGAAACATATGTGGCTTTCAAGCCATTTATTTATAACCGCGATAACCAGTTATTTTCTTTTCGGGTAATTATGATCATGAAAGATCGAATTATTCATTTTAATTTGAATGTCAACAGGTGGTCTAAGCGATTGAAAACATATCCAAGCCGCCCTACTGCTTTCTTGCAACACTCACGATTATTTTTCTCCGCAGGTTGTGACCAGTTCGGTTACCGAGACAAGTTTCTGTTCTTCTCAGCGAAAGACGGGAGGATCTTTGTCATGGTTAGCGACAGCATTGGAGATAAGACTGGGAACCGCCTTAGGATGAAAGGAGGAGATCATAAAGAGTACCCGGCCATTAAGACAGCAAAACTACACTGTGAACCAAGGAACATCGAGGTCAGGTTTGCCATTTGAAATTCAGTGTCACTTGTCTTTCTCTCATTTTTTAAATTTCCTGCTATAGCGGATGTTAGAGTTGCGGCCTTTGGCCACAATCATTTTCTGATTCAACTGCTCCATCATTCCCCAAATTTGGCTGACTTTCTCGCTCGTTCGGCCAAACATAGAA